GTAGCAAAATTAAAAAGAGGAAACAGTCACAGTATTTGTGGTGCTTACCGTCCTTGCGATGTTCGCGGTTACCACAAACACTGTGAATACCGCAATACCGCGAATACCGCAATACCACGAATACTGCAAGAGGTGCTAGTGTTTCACCTTCTTGATTTTGCTGCAATTTGCTTTTGCGTTTGAGTTAATGATTTTGTCGCAAAATCAAATTCCCCATCATATGCAGACACAAGCAAATTTAGGAAAGCAAACATTAGGTACAAAACACAAGATAAAGCAATGGTTAAAAGATTTCAATGCGACCAGTAGCTATTATGTTTAACATTCGATGAAGAATGTGTATTAGTAATTTACATTTCGTGTATTGCAGGATACAAATAACCACTAATTCTTTTTCTTTCCATTAGTAACAGTTTCTGTATCTAAAATACGGAGAATGGAAAACAACATAAAATCTGAAGTTTAGACTATTACTAAAAAAAATATTTCCTAATGAAATTTAACTGTATAAATGTCACAATGTCAACTGGTTATATTTTGCCGTGAAGATCATCGCTAGTATCGTGATAACAACAGTATTGTTCGAAGTAATTGACTATCTTTGATCGCATATTTTGCTCATAAGTAAAATAACTGTGAACTAGAAAAATTTTGAAAGAATGAAGACTCATAATACCACTAATCAAGGTATTGAAGCCTCGTTGAAATTTCTTTAAAGGACTCTGATTTTCGAACTAAAATTGTATGCTTTAGTATGAACATCAAACTGTGTCCGTGTGACGTATTTAAGCCGACCAACTCGTATGAAAGCTTTTTAGGTGTAGTCTCACCAATCCGAATAAAAAAAAACGTCACTAAGATCTGATAAGATTCTGAAATTGATCTTGTGTAATTTTGCACGATCAGAAAAAATCATAGGAAAACTAGTCGTCTCAGGCATCTTATACCAATGCGAATGGTCGGACTCTTGATAGATTAAATTATCCCATCAGATCGTACAGTAAGATGATAAAATATCTTATGGTGTAATATAGTTTCCTAAGAATTCTATATTACAACCTGCTGTAAGATTCTGAGATGAAGACTTTTTGTACGATTTTCACATGATTCTGTCTGATTCACGAGATCTTACTATCTGCTATCTCGACCTGGAAAGACATCCATGTTTCAGTCGATAAATACTTCTCCACAGGTACTGTTTAAAGCGAGAATATTTAAAGTTTATATCTCGGTAAGAGTATAGCCAAGTGTCAGGAAATTTTTCATACAAGCTCAGCTGACTGAAATCATGATATTTGGGAGCTATAAGACAAACTTTCGAATATGATTTTGTGACAAAATCAGTGTCCTACAAGAAGATCACGAGAAAGCTTCTATATCTAAGGCAAATCTTAACAGGAACTTTTCGACTATCCAAGCATCGTACTGGTGGAAAATATGTTGACTCACAAATACTGAATCATTTCGACGGTTTCCTCTTTATAATCATTTTTCTCTGTGTTGTTTTACTCACTGAGAAATGGGTAAACGTAATTATTCATTAAACATTTCCACCAGCTGTTGTTATGCACACCTTGGCCATGATCTAAAACGAAATCATTTTCATTTATAATTTAAAAAAAAGATATTATTTATTGATATTTTACAAACAAATAACTTTATTATTGCTGTACAAATACCGAAATCTAAACCTACGTAATGTTTCTCATTTTTTATTCGATGCAGAAAGATACAAAGTCTTGAAAAGTAAAGATAGAGAAAATATCTTTTTACTTAAAATTTCCAGCCTTAATTCGATAAGTCGGTATCTCTGCTTGATTAACACTCCAGAGATCACTAGTTACACCAGGTACGTTAATAACGTTTTTGTTAACATCTGTTAATTGAATATCAGCATCATACGAAATATCGAATGACATTTTAATGTTACTGATTAAATGTTCAAGTGGAACATTAATATTCACTTTCAATTCGACCTCGTTGTTTTTATATATAAATTTAATTAATCTTGAATTATTTGACTTCATCTAAGATAGGAGGATAGCGTTATAACAAGAATCGAAAATGGTGAAAAAATTATATGTTAAGAAAAGTAATTCTAACTTTTCTCGATGTAAAATTCATTTTACAGAATAAAAACGTTAAGTTAATTGATCCGAAATGAAACTTTTCCGGAGCAACGTTAATATTTCACCATTTATCTAGAAAAGATGATCGTGAAAAAGAATTAGAGGTAAATCGATTAATATAGTGTCCTTGTCAACATTAGAAAATTAATTCTATATTAATTTCGAATCAATTCAGCACGTATGAACATTTATAACTTTAATTCAATAATCACAGTACATTCGAAATCTAGTTCTATCGAGAAAAGTGTAATTTTGAATATAAATTAGACCCGTAACAGATGCTAGCTCTTCAAACTGGTGTGAGGGTGAGGGTGAAGGCCAGCGTTTTTAATGAAAATCTGAAAGTAAGAACAAAAGAGCACTTTACTTTTAATGCAAAGGTACCAATTGGTACTTTGCTTCAAATAGCAAAGTATATCAAAGTATAGTATGACTAAATTCTTATTCAAGAAAAAAAAAACATAAGACTATTCGTAAGTTCATCTTTAATTTTAAACATAATCTTGTTCAAAAACAATAAAAAGAAACGCAGCATAAATTAATAAAAAATAGATGAGCATTTTCAGCACTACTAATTAATGTTTTTGTACGAAATAGGTTATCAATATTTATCTATTTCAACAGGCATATGTAATGTGACTCTGCACAAGAAATAAAAGTAATACATAGTATTGTTACAAATGTCACTCGCTTATAGATTATTTTATTCCTCTATGTAAAGTAATTTATTGATGAATGTGATGAACACGTATTGAATAAGAAATTATAAACCCACAATATCAGTTATTAAATTCTCTCAACTCAATAAGAAAAAACAAGAATTTTAATTTTTTACTGTAAATCAGTTCGATCAATTCAATTGTATCGAATAAATTAATTTAAAAAAAAACACCCTTAACTTCATCTACAAGCATAAACAATAAGAAAACAAGCGATATTATAATCGTACTGTAAAAGTTAACAAAGTACCTTGAAGATACGTTGCTTTATTTCGCAGTGCAAAACACAGTACTTTTTAAAAATCGTTAGTGCCTCGAGTACTTTACTTTTGCTAAGGGGTACTCATTGCTTGGGCCATTGAAAACACTGGGCGATGGACCCCAAATTCACCAAAAATTCGTCAGAATTAATTCTGTTAACTCTAAAAAATCAAGACATATGTAGTGTACATGTGGTACGTTCTCTCTCTCATATAAAAGACCATGATGAAATAAGAGAAAGAAAAGCGTCCAGTTAACGATTGGTGCTTTGGGGTTTTCAAAAGCCATATGTAAGATATACGTCAACTGATAGAGAAAATTATTCTCTATCGAACTGTGTCTTTAGTTTTCTATAAAAAAATGGCAATGCCAGTCTGCATGACAAAGTTCGCTACAACAGGTGGCACCAGTGTATCTTAATAGGATTGGTCGAAACAGCTTCATGCTATATATTTCTGTTCCTGCCAATTTTGGAGCGATTATTTTTGATCATTTAAATTAATTTGAATCCTTGCAAACATAACATTTAGAAGCCAGCAGATGTTTTTCTCATGTATAGATCAATTACTAGGACAGTATGAATGTTTTCCTTTTGAAAAAGCCTGATTATTTGAAACATCGAGTAGAAATCAGTTCCTGAGATAAGAAGATTATTTTAATTTAGAAATAATTTAGTTAACAAAAAAAATATTAAAACATTCACAAGTTTCACTAGTAACAGAAAATAATTACATCAGTGAACAGGTTAACAAAACAAAACAAATAACAGAAAGCATAAAAAAATAGTTCCATAATAGAACCAGTGAAAAGTTTAATTCATATTGGGTTGACTGTTAGTTTTCTTCCCGAAGCATTTCCGAAATTGAGCACGACGACGAGGTGTTGATGTTATTGGCAGCGAGGGTGTTTTCTACAAATAAAAAAAGATTTATATTATGTCTGAAGGTAGAAGATAAACCTACAAAACTCGGCAATGTAAATTCATTTTACACTTGATTTGACATCGGAGTAGAATGAGCATATGGTGACTGGATCATAGATTGGTCATCATCAGATTTCTATAAAGAATAAATAACAAAAAATGTGGGTGTGAGGAGTGAGGCCAATACCACAGTTTCTGATGATAGTCTTCGACCCGTTGGTGTATTTGTTACATTAGTATCAGAATATTTTATCTCTGGGTCTATATTTGATTCATCTAAAGCCATGCCAGAATGAGATTCATTGATATTCTAGACAATGGGAAAAGAGAAGCTTTAAAGAACATCCAGGAAAAGAGAATAGGTTATCAACCGTATCATTCAAGTAAATAGGGTCAGATTTAGTTGACATTTCATCGTTTCGATTATATTGCATCAATGATGTTGTTACTTGCAATTTGTCGAACTTATTCTTTAGTTGTTGACTTGATGAACCGTATATATTCTAAATGAAGAAAAATTTTGAAAAGAAAATTAAAACGCACAATAGAACTAATTCAAGAGCTTTAATACATACTCTATTATAACACATATCTTGATTGCATTTACAAAAGACTGTGCAAGATAAATTATTTTTGTAATACTTGCAACGAGTACAACTTCCTTTGCATTCACCACAAGTTTCAAGTCGGTAATCAGTTAGTTGATCATTTAATGTTGACCATTTGATCTTCATTTTATCTTGAGTATTTGAATAATTATAGCCATTACGAAACATTGCGGGTGCTATAAGGAATGGCTCCAAAGCGTCAAGCCAAATTTTGATTTGTCTAGAACTTCTCAAACAATGTTCTTGAAATGTTATAGTAGAAGATGGTAAGCTACCCGAAAAATATTTCTTCGATTGCGATCCTTTACCCATAGTGAAGCCACTAAAATAATATAAAATAAAAGTATATGAGCTTGTTATTCTTAAAAGATATTATTTTCAGTATGAAAGGCTTGCTTCGATAAAGCTATAGTCATCAACCAATTGTGTGTGTTTACAGTGACCAATGGGTGACGATCTCGAAAACCAGACTGCCCAGGTCGATCAACCTGAGCCGTAAACGGCCGATACCTATCATTCACGGTGAAAAACGGCGACCGTATTTTTTAGTCGTTTACTGTTGCCGTAAACGAAATTATACGATGAAATACGATCGTCGTAAACGAGGACCGTGAAAAATCTCCGTGAACGGCCATCGTAACTAAACGCTAATCGTAAACGACTATCGGATATCACAGTAAACGGTCGTTTACGATGACTAGCTGCTCGCTTAAAGTATAGTAGCATTTTTTTGGATTGTAGTTTACTCAAGCTATCTCAGTAAGAAGTATTAAGTGACCATCTGGTAGGTGAAGTTAGCATTGCATTCGAGTAAACCTTTCGATGCTCTTTAGAGCTAATTTTCCAACGTCCATACTCATATTACTAGTAGAACCTCGTATATCTTATCGAATAATATATTTCGATTAACTAGACTTGAACCATTCTCCTGAAATCTCGAAAAATCCAAAAAATCCTGAAATGCTTTTTTTTTGTAAAATCCGGCCATAGTCACTTGGACCAATGTTCCAATTCTCGTACCTATGCTCCAAGTGGAACTCGATGAACACTACCCAGTCATGTTCACATATTTTCCGTAGCTCGAAATTAGACTTCACCCGCTGATAAGATAATACTGAAGAAATTTCAGAAGATCCTACTTTGAGCTATGAAAAATCTGCCGAAATCATTGAATAGATCTACTCAAGTTGTGTTACGATCATGAGTGAGTACTCAGAACAACGACTTTGGCGAGTATGGTGCTAGAATTTCATAGGAAAATAAATGTGGAAACATCGGATTTGCATCCAATTGTTATGTGTACTGCAAAAACTGAGTCGATCTATGTATGCTGTGAATGATACTAAAAAAAGTTTTTTTTTTTTTAAATCTCTGTGCTCCCCCTCAGGGATAGTCTGATAAAAATGACCATTTTTTCGATAACTCAGTCATTTCTTGACGAATCCTTCTCATCTTCGAATTCGATCTAGATATTGATAAGACAATTGCGTGCACAAAATTTTAAATCAATCGAATGTAATTGTGAAGAGTTATCGAATAAACGGACGAACGGGCGGACACACTGACCGATTTTAGTAGTGTACTCACTTTTTGAGTACACAAAAACCAGTAAATGCCTGATTAATTCCGCCCAAGCCAAGAATTATAATTCTCGGAACAAACAAAAAGATCAAGAAAAGTATGAATTGCAGTTCGAATTCATGAAAATTTATTGAAATACAAAACAATTAATAAATCAGTACCGACCAATAACATTTACAAGTTTTAACTAGTAAACTATTTAGCTGACAACTAGTACATTACCTCAGCAATGTTCATTATAGAATATATGAACAGATACATTGTTGAGTTGGTGAAACAACAGTCGATGATGGTACATTGCAGATGAACAAGCGAAGTTTCATATAGGCTAGAAGTGATAGATTATGTTGATCATCTAATTACAATTATGATATCCGTATATTTTCTTTTGGCGTGATCTATAGAGGCGAAAACTTTTTTATCGATACTTGGCAACATTTATATGATTACATTGCACATACATGTCAAGAATGAACGATAAGTAAACTTCTAGTGTTACTACTTTAGAGCTTCAAAAATAAAACAAACTCATGTGATTGGCCAAGTTTGTTGTGAATGCAATACAAAACTGTCACTTACAACTATTCCAAACAGTAAGTCTAATAATTCAAGTGAATTATGAATAAATTTCAAAATCAGTCCTTGCGCTTCTCAGGATTAATGTTGTTATCCAGATTCTTCTTAGTATATTTCGTATAGACGAAGTGACTGGAGACGTCAGAATGTGTTGTTAATTCAAATGTTTCCGAAGACAAAATGACAGAACTCTGAACATCTTTTGATAATCTAGATTTAGGGATGGGCGGTTTCAGTTTACTGAACACTGATGTCACCGACGCACTGGAACATTGACGACTGATTACACTGCACCGCCCCAGTGAAAAATATTACTAAAAAAGAACGGTAAAGAATGTGTTCCAAAAGAACTGAAGCTCTTTTTTTATGAAAAGAACACATTCCACAACAAATGGAAACCGTTCTCAAATGGAACGCGCTAGAACGCATTCTATCATTCTAAGAAGGTGTTCTTGGTCGTTTCGAAATGGAACAGTGAGGAACGCATTCTGCCACTTGTGGAACGCTTTCTCTTCTTTAAAACGGTTAACCTTTCTGATCACCTGGGTGATCATTAATAGATGAATCTACAATTAGTCAAAAGGCTGTTCCTGGTGCAACTTGACGAGCTCTATCGAATGGCGTCTCCAATTCGTTGTAACTGAAACCGTTATTAAAATAATAATTTTTCTAAATCAGACCAAATATCCCTAAAGTAAAATCGAATGAAGATTCAATCATTTCTCACATCAATTTCAACCTGCTTTGCTTCAGACCTTTCATTTTAGAATGAAAATGTGGTTTGCTTCGAAAAGAAAGCATTCATCTCTTCAGAGAATCCATTGTCTTAAAGGCTCGTGAGAGAACGTAAAAGGAAGCTATTTTATTTCGATGAAATGCTATGTTAACCGTTCCGAAAGAAAATGAACTAGAATGAATTCTACTGGTTTAAGAATGATTCAGAATGCTTTCTCTTCAAATAGGGAACGATTTTTCAGTATAGAAGAAAGTATTCCATACTAGTGTGGAACGGTAAAGAACGAGTTCCTTCAGATCGAGAATATTTCTTTCTGACTCTGAACGCATTCGCTCAAACAAGGAACGCATTCTCTACGTAGGAGATAGGTTTCCAAATCCGCATGAAACCATTCTATTCCGTTTTTTTCGAAATATTTCTCACTGGGATGCAGACGTTCTGCTTTCGTTATTCAGTACGTCCGTATGTCAGTGTTTTACTAAACACCGATATCAGTGTATCACTGCTCACCGACTAGCAATATTTCAGTGAGTGACGGTGCATCAGTGATCTCGGTGTCAGTATAATTTCAGCGCCAGTATCATCAGTGCAGTGCAATCAGTCGTCAGTGTTTTCGGCGGCCTCAGTGTCAGTATTTCAGTATGTGGACTGAAACCTCCCATCCCTATCTAGATTAGCTCACGTTATTATTTGGAATTCTATAACATTTGTAGCGATAAAATCAACCAAATCGATTCCAGTCGACACAAAATTAATTAGTACACACTGACAAGTATAACACTAGTTGTTTTAGGTTTGTTATTCACAACTCTTTGTTTACAATGTTGGAAATAACAGTTTACTACCTCTTCTAGTTTTGGTACGTTGCGACCATTAAAAGTAAAACAAAAACCAGCATTGACTACATGGGTTTTCTACAAAAGTAAGAAGTAATTAGGGACTCAAGTTTGTAAAAGAAATATTGAAAATAAACGTTCAAATGAAACGTGTAACACTTGCATATGAAGGATTCAAGATAAGCAAAGCTTATCATCAAGATATTTTTTGTCGATTCTTAGTTTTTACTGAGTGGGAATCATTTATTTTATTCTTAAGAACCTTCTAAAAAGTAGAAAAGTTCTTTTAAGAAAAACTTGTTGTTTTATTAACGAAGTAAAGAGTTAACAAGTATTCATATTTTTCTTTCATCTAGAAAACACTAAGTAATGAACATCAGTTCTTCATACGTCTGGCATTCGGCACTCATTCTTTTTTTTAATATATACGCGTAAAACATTGTATTTAGCGAAATAAAAATCGATAAATAGAATGATTATAATTAAAATTCTCAGCCACTCGTAGAAAGTAAACACAAAATAAAAGGTAGAAAATGAAATCCAATTATGAAAACTAAAACACCTAAATCTGCTTCTTCTCCAACCACAGCCTTCTTTTCTAGAATAACTTTAGACACGATTAAAAAGCTAAAATAGAAACTACAAACAATTAAAAATAATAAAGAAGTATATTTTAGTCTAATCGTTAGTGTCGCTTGAGAAACAGAAGAAAATAAATGAATCCAAGCAAATCCAAAAAATAATATCGAAGTAGATAAACCGACATAAATTACAGAAAATGGTGATAAAGAAAGCATTGGCTTTTTGAAATAGCCAGTTGATAGAATCCACCGATAGAAGTTATCTTGACCATCCTCTTCAAAGATATGATCGAGTTGAAAATGTAATAAGCATCCAGCAACTGCTAATAAATAACAATCTTTCATACTTAAAGGCACTAAACTTCTATTTGTTTGCTCTCTGTTCACATTTGACGGATCAGTATCGAATGATTTTATGTATTTCCAGTTCATTATTTTTCGTGTTAATCGAGAAGATAAAAATGACATCAAAGGTGCAATTATCAGAACATATCCAATACTATGATGAATCCATGTCATGGCTTGATCAGCTATCGTAGGAGAACTCACTGAAAAACACCAAGCAATAAAATTTCCAATATCAGGTCCAATAAATCCATTTAAAGCCAATAAAAGACAATGAACGGCTGTGAAAGATCCTTTTGTGGACACCATGATTAATGTTCCAAGGCCCAATGCATAACCAATATGAATAAATGGACTTGGCATATCTCGATCACTAAACAATAAAGACATTACATGTTTTTCTTCTTTTGTAGAGCTTCTTATAGCTCAGATTTTGATTGCGCATCGAGTCTTAAATATTTCCTCGCCAATATTGGAAATGTCATAACACTAATGAAACCAGAGTTTTGAACATATGAATGAGTGATTGTGTCTTTTTGGAAAATAGAATACTTCCTTTCAAAGTTTTGTCAATGGAGAGTCTTAAATGTTCGTAGTAGAATGTTAAGTCTTCTATAGTTTCACTATTCTGTAAGTGCTTTCACTAGATGGAGTTAATTATTTAATGCTAACAATAGAGCAGTTCAACTTTAGTATCCAGAGTGTGAGGAGATGTTCATCTCCGTAAAAATGCTATTGCAATATAGGAATCATTTTACATACAGATATATTGACTATAGAATGTTGTAAAGCATTGTGTTACAATTTATCTATCAAGTTTATTGAACAGCAAGAAAATAAAATCATCAAAAACAAGCATCTGCACAACGGTATTAGCTCTTCTTGATCTTGACTGACAATAAATAGGCACACATAAATGAAAGCCAATCAGTAGGAAATAACTGAAGAGGTAGGTAGGTAGGATAGGAAATATGGCTAATGCCATGAATTCTGTACTCAGATGTCGCTGTTTGCCTGAGGATTTATTCAATGTATATATATATATATATTTCATACAATAAGAATAGAACAAAAAAAACAAGCCATTTCAGGTTAATATTACTTGATGCAATATTTGAACTATTTTTCATCTGGAGGCCATCGAAGTCGAAAGTGTCCGTTAGAAAGATAAAAAAAATCATACTCCTAGATACTCATTTCTTTTGGTCGATGTTTTATCAGTATATCTATCCCATTGTGTTTCAATAATACGAATAGTACTGTAAAAACTCGATATATTTGTGCTGAACAATAATGTGTCTAGAAATAACTAAAGTATTTTTAAATTAAATGAATAGTTTGCGAGTTTGAATTCAATATTTGTTAAGCGCTCGTCGTTCACTGATTGTGTTGAGACTGTGGTTTATATGTAATTCAAGATAATAAAAAAAGAGCAGCTCCAGAAAGACTTCGAAGTCATATGACTTTTAGAAAAATATTCTATGTCATATTTTTCTTGTGATTGAATGTTTGGTAATAAATTTTTTTAAACAAATATGAGTCTAGTATTATTTAATGACTAATCCTATTTGTAGTATCAACGGATTAATTGAAATTATTGTAGTATTTGTCATCCTTCAGAGATACCTTTATGATCAGCGTTAAAATTCGATTACATATGTGTTCTGATATTATTATCACCATTTTTTTAATTTTCAATACAAATCATCGTATTTTTCATTAAAATGCTTTTGTCTCTATTCAAAATGTATTATGTAAATGTGTTTCTTCACGCAAGGGAATGTGAGACGAGTATTTTTGAAGCTATTTTTCTTGAAGTCATGTCACAATGCCTTTCATTCGCCGAGAATTTCATATTTTAGGGAAGTTTTGATCTTAATGCAATACAAATATTTGTTTTGGTATATAAGAAGAAAAATTTGATCGTTTGCGAATGTGAGAATATATTCAAATCTATGAGTAGTCTTTTTATCCTTGTCTAAGACAGGCAGATCAATGAATGGAAACATGCCATAGTGATAGGACGACGCTAAACATCAAAACTGAAACGTCTAGTATCATATAATGAAGAAGCAATCATAAAAAGAAGTCAATAGTAAAAATAAACAAAAAATAACAAAATACGACAGCGGAATAACGTGTCACGTGGAGCGATGATGACGCGTATCGTTTGATCGCTTTACTAATTGCGAAATGCACAAGTTTTTTTGCTCTGTAGATCACCAGGCGTGTTCGTCGGAAAAGAAGTCAGCTACTGACTTTTTGAGTATATATAAATGAGCAATGTGGATGTGATCGAAACAACGAAAGTATATCAATTGACAACATTGTTTAATTCTTTATCGAAAGTGAATTATCATGAGTTTTGTTTGCACAACAATATTGCTCATCATACCGACCAATATTTACATGATAACAGATTAACTTAATGTCAACAGCTATGGAACTCTCATTACAGAGCAAAGTAATCACACCTGTTTATCAACAACAGTATGAAGGAATATGCCGCACTAAAGACAAAGAGAGCATAACTCTCATTTGTTTTGATGTAGACAATGGATTATGTGACAATATAGAGCAATTAAAAACACAACTACGTGACCCAAATGATTATATTGTCTTTCAAACTGAACTGGAATCGTGCATCACCTTTATATTCAGTCTATTGAAAAAGAAAACATTTTCTTAATTGCATTCAGCATGTCGGCTTTTGAAATCTTGCCACGCATTACTCATCTTCATCAAGTAAACATCCTGTTTATTTTGTGCTCTCAAATAGGTTATTATGAATACAAGGTTCGGAAAAATTCGGAGATAATTCGTATTTATGATGATACGGAATCACTGTGTTTATCCATTCAAGAACATATCGAAATTCTCAATAAAACATTACTTTCATGGAGTTTTTATGATCCAGATGAGTATAGAACAAAAGATTTATCTAAACAATCGAGTAGTTTTCTTTGGCTTCACCTGCTACATGATGTTCTCTTAAATTAACGAGAGGATGAGCAAGCAAAAATGCAGATGAACCATGAATGCCGCAGTTATTACCAAGGTCATGTGACGGAATTTGCGTTAATTGATGAATTTGAATTTGAATGCAATTCGCAAAAAGCCATTCGTTGGTATTTAAAACATTCATTTCTGAGAAAGATGATCAACAAAGCAATGCGAAAAGAAGATACTAATCAAATTTCTCTATTACCATATTTCTTGGTTGACCTTTTAGAAAATCTTAGGCGTGAACGTCAACAAATTATGGAATCTACTCAAGAAAAAGAACTTTTCTATCGACAAATGAAATTAGCAACTAGTGAACTTAATGAACCAAAAGAAAACATAGGAAAATTGATTATGATGAAGGAATTTTTTAGAGTAAGCGATTTTCGTTTATCATCATCGACGACTACGGCAACATTTACCAGTCAACCCGAACGTTTTTCTGTACTTTTTATAATCGAATGTGATATCAAAGAGCTTGGTGATCATATTTTTTGCTGATATTACTCGATTTAATGAAATACCATATCAAAAAGAATTTTTATTTGATGTTAATACCACATATCAATTGGAAAACATCGAACAGGATGAAGAAATATGGATTATCAAATATTAGAATGTCAATATCTATTTCTTATGCTAAATGTTTATTCGTTCACTACTACTACCAATATCAGCATTTCCAATAGAATATATTGAGGTACTCAAAAATACAATTTCGATGATGCAGGCAAAATCTAAATCATTTTATGTCGTATATTTTGTTCTTCGAATCAGTGTCAGACAAGATATTACTGTACTGTACACATTTTGTAGAGTTGCAACTGATCTTGTTGATGAAGCATCTGGAAATGATGAAGCATCAGATAATATTACAATGATGACGGAATGACTTGATCTCGTCTATAGCAGCGTCGGGAAAGAGATAGAAACGGAGAATCTAACTCTGATGGAGTGGCGACAAAGAAGTTTGTCAAAGTCGATTATTTCGTTTCTTAATACTAAAAAGTCGAAAGATATTCATCGTTTTCTTGTCGAAAAAGTGCCATTTGAAGTCCGTCCATCATTTCTTCTCTTATCGACCATTGTTGATCGCATCCCACGATATCCTTTTGACGAACTATTGCAAGGTTTCACATGTGATCTCGAAAGTTTCACATCCATTTGCAACGATCTTGATGACAATAAAGTTCGAGGCATAGTACTAGTAAAAACTGAAGATGAACTCGTATAATAGTCGCGGTTCGTTGCTGGCTGTAATGAGGAAATGCTAGCCTGGTGCTCATATAGTAGTCAATATGATGCTGATTCCGAAGACTTAAAACAAAGAAAGGTATTGTTTAGCAATAGCCGTGAACAATACACATGCCAAATGCACTCAAAAGCAAATAATATGGGAGCAGTCCTGCAAATTGTAAATATTTTTTTTTAATTCAGTAATAATTTATAAATTATAAATATTGCTCGTGATATTCGTGATGACGCAAAAAAGCTCGGTTGAGTCTATAAACCAGCTGAATGGTTTAATGAACAGACGCTTTCACATTTCAAAACATTTAATATTGATAATGCATGCCTTGTATCTTCATGCCCGTTTCACCTGTTGAACCTATTAACTACTTGTGCACATGGATTCGATGTGAATTTGAACTACTTTCCTTATCGAACATACACAATCCGTCTTTTAGATCTTGCCAACAGTTACTATGAGGAATCAATTGAATCAATTGGTTCCTTACCAAAATGTGTTCGGGGAGCCATACGTGCAGAAATTGAAATTTAGAGTGAAATAGGCTTTGAAGTTTTGAATCGTGATACTGCAGAATTATCCAAAGGACAATCATATTCAGGTTGTGGTCAGCGATTAAAAGTAGCCAACGGGCGTCGATTGTGGATTACATTAAGAGAACTCTACGAATTCAAATAATGGGGCATTGTGATGAAAACCAAAATATACCTGATTACACAAATAAAATCGAATGCATTATGAAGATAGGTTTCATTAACAATTGGCTAGAGAATCTGAAAAATGGAAAAAATATTCGTTCTTATCGAATTAACCGAAAAGGAGACACCTATTATGGGTTTTTATTCATTTTTTATTTCGAACCTGTCTAAACAACAATCGAGCATAAATATAAGTGCTAAGATGATAATAAATTATATCGCAGCGAATTTGAGAATGGGTATGGATGTGGATGAGGATGTAGCTGTGAATATATTTATTATCTTGAGCACTAGAATAGCTGAAAGTAAATTACCGTGTTTTGGAAGCACTGTAATGAATGACATAGTTTTTCTTTTGCATATGTTGCTAACAAAAATAAAACTTCGCAGTAAAATCGATATTTTTATCAGCTAGTAATACAAAGTCATAATGATTTCATAAAAGCAATAGAAAAGGGCCGCCTCACATGTTAAAATGTAGCGTTTGCTTCGAAGAAGTGAATAAGTTTTGCTACTTTTTCTCTTCATTCTTACGAATAAAATGCACAAATGATTTGACCCAAATAAATACATAAAAGAAACATGTATCATACTGATTCTTAGACGCTGTTTAGTTGACAGAAAATGATATCGTACGTGTACTCATTCATCTGATGTAGACTATCGTTTTTGGTGTCATATGCTGGCAGCCAATGAACTCAGAGCTAACTCAGGTGGTTACCATGTTATATGTGATTAACTACTCGGTTCACTAATAAACTAGTTAGTTGGGATAAAATTCAATATCTAGAATGAACCATATTTGATTCGGTACTTTTCGGTTAACGATTTGTTCGCTGAAGTTGAAGTCGAGAAGGCTGAACTGATTCGCAGTAGTAACATTATGCGTCAATAAATACTCCACTTATTTGATGTATTGGGGAGGGGGGGGCTACGTACTTGACAGCCCTGCCCACTTTTATAATAGATGATAAAAACTAATCAATTGAAATCTAGGCTTTTCATCTTTCATATTAAAACAATTGGTTCACTCATATCGCTCATTTGAATTAAATGTTTCTATTTCATTAGGATGTTTCGTATGACGTTGATAATAAGCCAGAACACAAATCTGTTCATAGTCATTTAAAAAATAATTCTAGATGCATGATGTTTGTATTTTGAAAATGTAGTTTATCGAAGAGTAGCTAATTCTCTGTATGCTTTTCTTCAGAAACCAAATAGTTCAAAATCCTCAAGGATAATCTACTTATGAGAGTTTCTGGGACGTACCATTTTTATTTTACTATTAATGTTGAATGAATAGTTACCAAAAATAAACTGTTTAGTACATTGTTCTGTAGCAAAATGAACCGGGAATCTTGTGTGGAAAAAATCAGTCTGATCACGGTTAACGAAGTGCAGAAATATTAAAACTACAAATAGTCTAATTTATTCTGGAACGCCCATAACATCAAAATGTTGACACTTTTTCCAGGTATTTATTTGAGCTACTAGTTAGCTTTTATTAATTAATAAGTCTCATATGTTAGATTGATTGAACATATATTCTACTAAAATCTACTAACAATGTTCTCGCACATTCAACTATTTAAATTTCTTTTTTTCTTTTTTACAACACTGCTGATGAATTAAGTGTTCATTTTTTGTTTCAAATATTTCTTTTTAGATTGATCTCTTTTCTACTTCCTGACTTAGTGTCAGCAAATACTTTTTGTTATTTGTGAATACAAACAAAATATTTCGTCCATATTTAGTAACTGCATATATGGAGTCTATGACAGAAAATAAATTATACAGAATTTTAGCAAACATACTAAGATAAAAATCTATTAATTTACTTTTAGAAATATTTGAATAGTTATGTGACACAAAATTTATTGGTCTATTTTATGATCTTTTGTCTATTTTCGAAAAATTATTCGTCATGTCTTACATTGTATTCATTCGAAGAGCTTTCTTAATGATACTGTAACCGCATAAATCAATTAAGAATTTATCATAAAACAAACGAAGTAAAAAATCGTAGCTAGCTATCAACCATAATTAGGTGTCGTTGGTGGAATATGTATATATCTTTGATTCTCATTCGAATCTCATCGAATAATTGATATTACAACAATAATTAGATATTGGTTCATATTCTTCATTAGTGAATCGCAATAAAAGTGCAATAAAAATTTCATTCGAATTGCGTTGTTGAATCATAATCGTCAATTGGAATTTATCAAAATAAATTAATGTACCTCAAAAAACGATTTCCGAGAACATACGATCAACGTCATTCACAAACATTTCATTTAAATCTGAAGAATGAATTCTCTACGTTTATCATTCATTATCGAATCTATTTACTTTAAATTGAGCTCATTAATAAAATAAAACTAGCTGTAGAGCAATTAAAAATAAATTTATTGGGTGTATGACAAAAAATTAATAAAATAATTGCATACATAGAAAAAGAACTTATTTTTTTCTAAGACCACTCCATAGGATAGTAAAAACGATAACTTTTTTTTACTGTACATATAAATGGTTAATAATGGTCGTGAAAGAAAGGAATTTCTTTAGGAGATAATGTTACTTGAAAAATGATGCCTTTATAATAAAATTGAAAATATGATGACATTATTAGCCTTTTAGCGAAAAATGACACATCAAGCAGTTCTATTCATCTTTTATTTGCTATTTTGCACAAATAAATATGTGTCTGTTTGTTATGTTATAAAATATTTTCTTAGACAGAAAGAAAGCTTTTCCACTGTTAATCCGACAGATGGAAGTATGTTTGAATATGCAACATTAATGTTTTCTGTCAAAAAAATCTGATACTCATCTATTTCGTAGTTTCTATCTTAGTTTATATGAATGTTTCATTTACTCTGGTGATTTTCGTTGAGTTGATTAATCATTAGAAGAAGAAAATGTACGCGCAAAAAGCTTATTGACCAATACGTTTTAGTTCGTGCTTGTTGAACTTTTCATCACCTTTGCAATGAATGACTATAAATGAGATACATCCTGTTATAACTTCCCGACAATCTCTGACAATGATATTAATATAAATGATAGCATAACCGAGTCATTACTGCTAATGAGTAATTCACAATTTCATATGTTCTTCTGTTTTTACTTATATATTTTATGAATTATAAACGAAAACAAAATCACCATTGCTTTGATACTAAGAATAAATTATATATCTCGATATACGTAGATATGTACTCATGAATAAATAGACTTTGTTTTTATCAAAACTAGATCAGATTACTGTAAGTATTGATTTTGGAGTCTATTTCGCGTTTTCTCTACTGTTTCTTTTTCTTTTCTTTTTGATGAAGCCTCACAAGGACCCATCAGTCTCATAGATATACATTTGCATACGTCAAAATAGAGAAGCTCCTTTTTTTCGTTTCTATTTCTCTCTTGAGATAAGAAAAGAAGAGAAAGAGAAAGATAGACAAAACAAAATTAAATGACGACGCTGAAAAGATATCTTTCTTCCCTAACCGAAATATCACACAGTTCAGACGTTCCAATTAAAGAGGAAATATCATTTTGTGTTTATTAATGTAAGTGCGAAACAAAACTATCTATTTTATTCATAGAACAATACTAAGACTCAACGTACTGTCAAGAAAAATTTTCTGTTGCTCTTGCCAATTTTGTATCATATTCTTTTAGATTAGTGAAATATTCAGTAAATATGCTTGTTTTAATTAGAACACTTTTAACTTTTGTTTCACTGTTTGAAGAAAAGCTTTCAAAGCTTCATATCAGTTGGGAAAGAATATATCTATATATGTATGTATGTTAATCATTATTTCTTATTCAAATAATTCCGTTCCGTCATTTTTTTCTAGAAAATCATCAAGATGATAATTCGATATAAAAATGATCTTCTTTTCTCTTATTCAACTATTTGTCCCATTCCATTGTTAGCTATGATTTATTTTCATCGATACCAAGTCTAGTGCCTCGAAACTACATAGTTCATAATAATAATAATAATAATAATAATAATAGAATTTTCAACTAGAGACTATTCGTTAGTGGTTGATTAGTTTACTTCATTCAATGTAGGATTGCTCATTTGTTATTACACAAAGTAATAACACAAACTATTTTTGTCCGCCTAGAAAAGAAGAGAAAAAACACTTCTTATCGTGACACGTAATCAGTGCCAATAAGAAAATAGAAATGAGATACGAGGCTATTGAAAAACAAACGGTTGACCTCGAGAATAAAAAAGACGAGAGCAATGGTGTTTGATTAGTTCATTTTTGAAAAGAAAAGAAAATTGCTAATAAAATTTTGTTTGCCATTTATTATTTCCAATGATGATCAAGATATTTCTTCTTCGTTATTCTAGACAGAATACATTTCCATTTCTATAACAAACTAATGAAATCAGTCGAGAGAACAATGAAAAAAAGAGAAGTAAAGAAACTATTGATTTGGCCAACAAAGTCTCTCACACCTCATTCTAGTTTTCAACCGAGCTCATCACGGATCTTATAGCCGCTAGCAGTTCCGTCAGTTTTTCTTTTTCTTTTGTTAATTACTATTATTATTGTAATTGTTTTCCATTGCTCTTCGCCTAACTACATAGTTTTGCAAAGCTAAAAAGAAAAAACATGAGAATAAAAGAGTGACTAGATAGTAGTACAAAATAATCAGTAGTGTTTCTTTTTCCTATTTTCCTCTGTTTATTATTTCGCTAACATCGCTATCACCATCGCCACTGCTATTGTTCGTTTGAAGTGATCTATTTACATTATCATCAGTCATACTCAAACGATCAAAACGTGTAAAACTTTTTGATAGTTCATTTATAATAATTGATTATTAATGTGTGTAATCAAGCAAGTCAAGTAGGTGTAGTCTCTATCATCCCGATTGATAGCTATTCTCAAAATAAAGAACCAAAACAAGAGCATACAAGATTGGAAACTATTTTTAGAGATCGGAAATAAAAAGAAAATATAACGAGTTTTAGAGAAAAGAAAAATCAGTAGAGAACAATATGAAGCAATGCTCGCTCTTCCTACGCAAAAAGAAAGAGCAGATGAGCATTCGACAGCTCTTGTGCTCTATTATTTTGAAAAGAGAAACGTATCAGTGGCAAATAACATACAAGTCATGCTAATCCCATGAGCATTTAGAAAGTAATAGTAGTAGATGAGATGACATTTTATTCTTCTTCTTTCGTGGAAAGCAATTAGTTATATTATATTCTATGTTTTTAAATAGCATTTTATAGTTCACCTTAATTTTATGTGACATGCGTAACTATGAGCTTGTAAACTCAATGAGTGATTTCAAGGAAAAAATCTTTCAGTAATCATAAAGAAAAGTTTGAACTCATGATATATAAAATTTATGAGAATGTTAGCCACTCGAAAACGGATTCTACCAAAACTGATTGTTTATGCAACGTCACAGTTATTGATTAGATAATTTTGTAATAGATTCATTTGCTTCATTACTTTTTTTCTATTATAATATAAATATTTCAAGGTCAATTTATGATGAATAACAGAGTATTTAATGGATTACGGCAAGCAGCTGCCAGTTTTCAGTAGAAAGACTTATGTTGATGTTTACCAATAGCTAATGGGAAATCCTTGCTCGTTGCTTTTCGTAATCTACTTTGATAGAGAGAAAGAATTATATATATATATAGATATATAATTCTTTTGATCCTGTAATTTAACAAAAAACAGAAACTCACTATTATATATTAATTGTTATTAATTAGATGAAAAGACTGAATGTAAATTATTTTACGTGAACAATAACATTTTACAGTTACTTTTAACGAAAGATAAATAAAACAGTAGATATTATGGGAGATTATTGAGAGTAGTATTGATTAAATTTTCAACGTTCGAATTCAAAATTAATTGGTAGTTAATAGTTTAACATAGAAATATGAATTTTATGTTTCTTTTTATAGACGTCAATATGAATAATATTCTTCTTTTCATACAAAAATGCTGATGATTAAATGGCAAAAGTGTATTTTTATCTTTTTTCTTCTATCAAGTAAGTTTTTTTTTAAAGTATCATTTAAAACAATAAATTATTCTATTCGAATATAAATAGTTTACAAATTAAATAAAGTTCATTCAATTCACTGTTGTGTAGGTGATAACACATGCACAGCAGAATCTGTGGATTGTCCTTCAAATGTTTGTTTTAAACTAGGTGAGATCTATTTGTTTAGGATAACTTCGACGTCATTTTTCTCTTTTAGTTTTTAATAAAATATCAGAATATCGAGGATGCATGACGGATCTCATGAAGAGCTTAGGATCCCAGAATATTAACAGTCAAAATCTAGATGAAAATAGTGGAACGCATAGTGGATCATCCAATGATCAATGTCAAAAAATAGATACACAGGGAGCTGGAATGTCTTTATGTAAATGTACTAGTAATTTATGTAATTCATCTTCAAAATATTCTTATTTCTCATTGTCGACTTTGATTTTTATCATTTTTGTTGTGTATCTGTTTCCTTTTGTCTTTCTTTCGTAATTATTTTCTGCATGAAATATACGTATTCATTATCATTTGTTCGATCTATTATTATTATTATTCGCTTTTTTGATTTTTCATCAATAATAGAATATGATTGAAAATTTTATAACGAATTTCTGAATAATAGTTCGAAAATCTTTGTTTTTTAAAGGGTTTTATCATCACGCCAGATCTAGAATTTTCAATTGTTTTTAAAGTCAAACTACAAGAATAGTATTAATCAATCATCGAAAGTCATTCATTAAAGGAAAGCATGCAAGTTGATCAGACACTCATCTAAAACAGCCCTGTCATTGTTACATGTAGTCCTTATGTCGTCTTATACTTGTCATTGGATGAAAAGAATTTGAAATGATTTGGCTTCATCATCTTTTTTTCTAGTTGATTTCGTACATGATTGACATGCTTTGCATTTAAGAATCGTCTATTAAATACGATTATAAATCATATGAATCATTTACAAGTCTATTAAATATTGTCTTTGCCTTTCTGTTCTGTTCAACAAATCAAGATAATTTCATATTACAAAATTATTAGAAATCAAAATATACATCAAACATTCTGTTATTATGATTAATTTTCCTTGGATTTCTCTGCTAATAGAATAAGTTATTTTAGTCGAAATCTTTATTTCGTAACTTTGACGCAAGTAGATTTTAATTCTTTTTTTCTTTGTTTGTGATTATTGTGAATGATCAACATTAAGAATAATTTAAGTCTCTGTTGATTTAAAATGAAAACAGTTACTGAAACCCATGAGCAGTTGTAGTTGAATAGTCATTAAAAAAAGAGAGAACTGGATGAATATTGGAACAATTCCAATAATCATGCTGTTTCAGCCGTGTAAACGGTCACAAGAAACTTCACTAATTGAGAACAAGAATTGTTCATGGAAGCATTGAATCAAATCTCAAGTAATATATGAAAATGTGACTAGCATAGTCAATGCTTTTCTTGTTTTTCATTTATAGATCACAGGTTACCAACATCACCTGCAAGTATTGTTACTCGTATTGTACGTGCTATCGACTTTGACTTTGTGAGTGTTATCTTATTGAATTCTGGTTATGCATTTTTGCAAGTTGGTAGATGACAAACATGTAAATAAAAAAATGATCTAACTTTTACAGAAAACTAACTGCAATTACGAAAGAATTGTTTTTGACTATTTTTCTTTTTGCAAGACACATAAGCTTAGTATGTCTATACAAGAACTGATCAATAAATGGTCGAAAGCCATGTTATTTTTCAGCAACGCTTGATAATCCATTCATGATGATTGATTGCCATAAAGCATATAGTATGAGGGATGCTCTCTATGTTAGAAGATTTCTTCAGATTATGTCTGTAGGAGGGCAATACTTTCAAGTATTGAATAAGATACTTATGAATGTTTTTCAAAAGAAAAAACGGTGGTTTAGATATTTACTAGGTTCGAAAGAAATATCTTATTGGAGAGTAAACCTCGAACGATATTTAATATTCATAATTGTTGAAATGTTCTGGAAGAAAAACGAACTTTCATATTGCCATATGCTGTTGCTGAAGTAATTAATAGCTAAGTAACAGACATTGTTCATTCAAGGAGAATCTGATTGACATGAGACTTGAAGAATATTAGCAAAAACAAGTTTAAATGAGAGATTGGATGGAATACTTGTACTAAATCCTGAAAATATGCGACTTAAAGATCGTTCTATGTTTGTAATTCAAAATTCCATGGATTTGCTCTCAATAATAAGATATCTAGGCAAACTTATTATGTTTAGATGCTACATAACCAATGACTTACGGACTTCTAGTATTTTTTGAAAAAAATATTAATGATTTCTTAAAGTACGTCAACGAAAAAGCTGAATCTATTTTTTATTTTATCGACTACCTAATAAAACATTCTTATTTTCATCGTCGAAACAATAGTACATCATTGAGAATTGCTTAAAACTACTTTTTAAAAAATTCTGATAGATACTGTCGTTCTAGTTTAAAGTTTACTTGAACAACAATCAGAAAATGTTGGATTGAACCGATAGTATAGTCTCATTTCAATATTAGATAAAAATGTTACTCAAACTCACATCAATTTTGAGTTTTTACAGTTTGAGAGAAGATCTATGATGGGAAATGCTGAAATATGAAGCTTAGCTCGAGCAGTATGAAACTGAGAAAAGAATATGTCAGAATATGATCTATGAGAATAATCTTAAGAAAGTTCATCGATAGATACTTATCTTGATAATGGCATATGTATGCTGTCGAGCAGTTTTAAGCTATTAGATTTTCTTATTCATGAATTTTTGTAATCTATTTAGTCGAAGAATCATAAGAAGTTTGAATAGGAGATGAAATTATTTTCTTTAGATATTATAGAATATTATTTGGTCAGAATAGATAATTGTTGGCTTTTTAGAAACGAGAAACCTATAGGTTCTAACTTGACCGATAAATTTATTTTGCCTTATTTTCAATGTTTTGATAATATGTCATATTGATAGAATCTTTGTTTCTATTAACTTGTTTGTGTGAAAACTTTTGTTTTGATTTTTCTTATGTGCATTATCGAGAAATCTTATTATAATCATTGACAATGATGATGAGATACAGTCGAAACCTAGGTTTTTAGAATGTTATTTTTTAAAGAAATCGATAGCAATTGAATAAAAAACAAATGAAAAAATATATCGAAGAATATTCGCATACGTTCTCTACTTTTTCACTGACGAGAATATTTTGACGGTTCACAAGCGGTGCAACGTTATAATCTTATATATTGTCGTGATCACATACTGAAAAATATGGAAGAAAACAAAGAAACCATACGAATTAACTGTGTATATCGCACTATTTCTCCTAAAAGAATCATTTATTATCATGCTTGTTTGATTTGGATATAGCAAATTATTATCACTCTATAAAATATTTTACTAGTTCGAAGAGATTCAAGTGTTTTATCATAAGAACGATAGATATAAGCAATTATTAAACTTGATGTCTACTTGCTACCAAATAGTGCTGTAATGTTTTAGATAAATGCAATGAAGATATTACAGAGATGTGAAAGCCGTGTTTTTTTTAAAACTCATTTCAAGTGATAAATCAACCAAAACATTTTATTTGGCTAAGTCAGAGACTAGTCATAGATCATCTGAAAAACTTTCAACTCAAGTTACAACAAATCAAAAATGATTTGATTTATCCATCCATGTGATATTCAGTGTAAACAGATTGCTATTTTATTTTTTGATAAATACTGTCTATGTATAAATGTATAACAAGTGTGATATACCGATACAAAAAATATCAAGGTGCTTGGCAAAAATATAAATATTATCTATTTGCCAGTAATAGATTCAACTGGCACTGATGTCATTTTACAATAGTCTGATTTCTAGATATTTTGATATCGATTTCATTTTATTTTCAAGACTGTTTGAAATTCTTTTTAGTCGATAAAAAAATATTGCGCTATCAAACTAAATTAATTAAATTTTAAAATGTATCCTTCAATTTTCATCAATGACAAACATTTAAAAGAATTTGGGAAACTAGAAAAAATAAGTTTAAAATCAAATAATCAGCAGCGAACAAATATTATAAATTCAATCGATTTCAAATAGATTTATGCTGGTGTTTTACATGAATGCCTGTTTTGAAATAATAGGAACAAAATGTAGAAATTAAACATCTAGAAGCAAGCCATCCTTCAACAAAAATTGCTTTACTCTGATTATAATTATATGAAAACTAGTCTAAAAATAAATATCAAGGTACTTTCTACGAAATAGGTCATTATGATCAGTACTATGTTAAAATGACTGGTCATCAACGATGTATGGTTCTTGTATTGATATATCTTTTTGAATTTTGTTTTATGTATGTTTCGTTGAAAGTTCTTCAATGATATTTTTCAGTGATAAGTCTCTTTTTTACTTTTATTCACATCTAATGAAAATTCTGCAAATGATTGAACACATTGTTTTCATTATATAGACGAATAAAATCCTTCTTCGTTATATTTAGAAGCTTTATCGATTTGATTTTCTATTAAAAGTTGTTTTTCATAAACGAGTCTCACGTGCTCTAAATGGAAAAAGTTTCAGCCTTCAACAGCAAACTAATATAGTTGATATCAGCTGGTTAACGTAAAAAAAAATAATTAAAGTGATGTAACAGCAGTATTGACAAGTATTAATCAATTCGATTCATTCTTGTTCGATACTTTTTCTCTATTACATTTAAGCCTCATCTCGTGGAAACTTGATTCAAATCTTGTGTCTCTACTGGACGATTCTTTCAATCAGCAAGAAAAAAGATATCCCTGTCGTAATCAATATCCTATATCTACCAATTGAAAAAGACAAGTAAACAGTATTTATAATGCATGGAAAAACGAATGAATAAATGCATTTTATGAAAGTCATTTAGAGCGAGCTTATTTCAGTAGGTTAAGTGGAAATAGATTTAACACAATAAGAAAGCAAATACATGTAACAAGGAAATTTGATATATATATGAAGTTCAAGATTTTTTTATATATTTTTTTTCTTTTTCATTCGAGTTCATTGAATACGAGAAAAGCGGATCTTGGTGAATCTTTATGAATGCTAGAATCCATTACATTGTATAGAGTTCATGTAGATTCATCAGAATCTATTAGGCCCGATTAGAATAAGACGTGAAAAGCTCATAAGGGCATTCCAAGTCATTTATTCAAATATCTTAATTTACAAATGAAACAGAATATATTTATTTATTTTTTGTCTTGTTTTGTTTTTATGAAAATCAATCAAAATAAATTAATAATAGGGCTAGTGGTCTAGTGGTATGATTCTCGCTTAGGGTGCGAGAGGCCCGGAGTTCAATTCTCCGCTAGCCCCCATTCGTGTTTTTTTATGAAATTCTGCATTCTTTGACGATGAAGAATTTCGGTGATCACAAATCGTCAGAGTTGATTTTTAAAGCAATCAGCCATATAAAAATCAATTGAAATTTTCGAAGTAGAATTTCTTCTACTATTTTCCCCATCGTTTTAAACTAATAATCCTCAATTCTTATTACTTCTTGCACCAATAAGGTATAGTATATTCAATCTAAAAAACGATGACTTTTAAATGTCAATAATTATACATAATACAAATATAAGCAAAATGTAAAAACGCTCCATAATGAATTTCTTCAAAAGTCTCGTTTTTTTCATACTTGAGTTTTACAAGTTGAGTTCAACAAAAGAAATACTATAAGTTTTAAAGTAAAAAATATATATTCATGTTAACTGAAGTCATCTTCACTATCGTCAGTAAACAAAAAAATTTTTCTCAAAAATTAATCAGCTAATTTACTTGAAGGCATAACATTTTCCTTTATGTCTTTGAAATCTATTCAATTATCTAGAACATTTCAAAATTCTGCCATTATTATCGTGCACTGTTAAATTTAAAAACAAATACTTTCTATTCATTTTTTTTGTTCCCTTCATGATTCATTACCTGATTCGTGTGCTAACCGGTCATTCGTAAGATATCTAACGATTACATTTTTGTTATATTATTGTGGCTACTGTACTGCATCAAATGCTTGTTGATTAGGTAGATAGTAGTAAATTGAAGTCTACATGAGACTGAACTTGTTTTAGAAAAATAAAAATAAATATTAGAATATAGAAATATCCTTAAAGAAAAGATTATTACATGATTGAATGCTTAAATTCACCTATCTTAAATAGGCTGCTTGATTGGATCACAATAACTTTCACCGCTATTATATCGTCTAGGCAAATCAATTAAAAACCAGATACCATAGAGGCAATGTCGTAGGATTTGTATGAAGTTTCCAAGACGTATTTCTGATCATCCAATCGTAATTTTTTCTTATGCTACAATACATGAAATTTCTTTCTTTAAAGTAAAAGTTGATTGTAAATCATTGTCATATTGAAGACTGCAAAAAGTGCACCTGTTAATCTCATAATAGAATTTATTCTCTTATTATTCGTTTTTCATATTTCGAATTGATTCTACATGTTGTGTTCATTGAAAAATATTTATTTATACATTCACAAGTGTAACTACGGGTAAACATCATAACAGCTTCGTT